AACCAATGTTACCTCAATAAGAAAATAAATTACTCTTAAAAATCCTCATTTAAAATTGCAAGACTATGAATAACAACATGAGGGGAGAAAACAGTGGAAGAACTAGCAGGTAATTAAATATTGAGAGGAGAAACAGATATAAAGATATAGAAAACAAATCCAACACAGCCTAAAAAAAAGTATGTGTGTATATGTGTATCTTTATAGAGCAAACCTGAAATTTCAAAATACATAAATCTCAGGGATGGCTAGCACTTATTAATGAATAGGAACTGGCACTTGAAAGGCATGTACTACAGTGTTTTACAACAGAAGGAGAAAGATACCTATAAATCAACACAAATATGGAAAGCCTTAAACATGGGATGAAGGAAGCCCTAAGTGAGGCTAAAAAGGCAACTGTATTATGAGGTGAAGCATACTTTTTGGCCACCTGGCCAGATGAAGGATTCAGATGAGGTTTTCCAAAACATGCTGCAAACAAGCACAAGGATAAAATAAAGACGTGATGTACTGGCACCTAAATTTTACCCAAATCAGGGCATCTAACAAATTCCTATATGCTGAAAAGTTTATCCTTTAACAGATAAAGGAAGCACTGAGGGGAGCTGATTTAACAATTTCATACTTACATTTGAGCCAAAAGACAGAAATGAATGATGATGCAGAAGTGACAAGAACTCTGGTAGTAACCATGCCCAAGAAAAACAATCCTGGGCAAGGAAAACAAGCCTACACTTGTGGTTGGACATTTTGACAATCAGTCACTCATAATATGCGTAGGGAGCTGAGGAATGGTGGATCTACAGAGGACTCAAGAAGAGTAACTACTGGCAGATTCATGTCAACTGTGAGGGGGACCTCTACTCAGTCATTCTTCGTTTGGTCCTGCAAAACACTGTAAATCAGTAATCTGAAGAAATGGGAGCATTTCTACACATTTTCAAGTGACACAAAGCTAGGAAGGAGAGTTAATATGTAGGATGAAATATCCATTCAACAAGTATTGATCGAGCACCTTTATAGGCAAAGTGTTAAAATGAATACAAAGATGAATCAAGATACAGCTCCTCTTCCTCTCATGGTTTTCTTTTCCACAGGGGAGATAAAAATATGTAAATAATCACTCAACAAGGTATGAAGTCATAAGTTCCATAAAAAATATAGACAAAGTGATTAGATAGGTCAATGAAGGGAGATATTACTCAAAGCTTTATGTGTTGGTGGGTTCAGAACCTGGGATGATTTAGTGCAAGTGCTCATGGGAACATGTCAGATGGGTAGAGTTTGGAAATGTAGTAATCAAGAGAAGGGGATCTAGGTTCAGAGGTGGAAAAGCATGGAGCTTATATCGGGAAGGATTTGTGGTTTTTATGAAGGGTGGAATTCAGGACAGGGAACAGTAAGAAACGAAAGTTGGGTAATAAGATTCTGGGATACAGGTTGGCACAATAAACTAAAAACAATAAAATTAAATTTAACTGGGATGAATTTGCAGTTTTAGGATGGCAGTGTAAAGACGTTGCTCCCCCTTTCTTCTTGAAAATTACCCCCAAAGCCCAAAGAAATAGAATACAAACTCCAATTTTAATGACTAAGAGGCATAGATGAGCCATAATAACATGGATATTACAAGCAGTTAAAAGAATGACTGATGACTTAGCATAGCAGAGGAAGGCCAAGTCCATGTGCCTGAAGAGGGAGATACCACAAAGAAACAGCACTTCCAGAACACTGGAAATGGTGAGGAATCAGAATACCCCCACCAAAGGCAGAGGGGAGGTAAAGAACTGAAATCAGGAAAATTAAGCTAAAAACAGGGAGAGTCTGAGGCAGAAGAAACTGAACTCCACTCATGCTCAGTGACACCAAGCAAAAAGAATGAGTTGAAGCTAAGTTCCAAGTACTGCTAGAGATTTTTTCGTAATAAAAATGAATCATTATTTATTCTATCTTAAATGTTTCTAAATAAAACTTCTTTTAATGATATTATAGAGGTTGAAATATTTTTCAGCAGTTCTTAACGAGAATGATATTTTTGGAAATACATATGCTCTAGCTCCAAGTCCCAACTCCAGATTCTAATTTAGTAGGGTAGGGACCAGGAACTTATATTCTGACCAAGTCTGAAAACCACTGAGCTAGTGTAAAAAAGAAATCTATCACCAAAACCTATCAAAAGGTAAAATGGCATACAGAAAATACAGGCATTTTCATTCATAGGTTAAATACTATGTGCCAGGTATTGTTCTAGGAATGGGAACAGTGCAATACACAAAAACTCCCCTACCCTCATGGAGTTTATGTTCTAGAGGGGGGGGAGACACAAACAAAGTAAGTATGTAAGATATGCAGTATTTTACATATTATTGGAAGGTTATATGAAGACAAATATAGCAGGTAAGGGGTAAAAGGAATGGGGTCAGAGTGGAATTAATATATGAGTCAAGATTTAAAGGGAAGTGAAGGAGTACGCCTTGAAGATATCTAGGGAAAATGTTTCAGGCAGAGAGAATAGCTGATGCAAAGGCCTCAAGAGAGGGGACTGTCCATATATTTATTCAAGAGACATGTGGCCAGTGAGCTGGAACAGAAAGGTAACAGGGGTGAGCTAAATTGTATAGGATCTCATGGGCCTGTGAAGGACTTTGGCTTTTATTCCTATGAGATGGTAAGCCATATAATCATATGAATTTTTAAAAATGAATATTTAAGGAATAATTTAAATATATACATATGTATATACACATATGTGATATATAACAGGGGTGCCAAAAGAAATGTATACAAGTGGACACTTTGGTCAATGTTGCTCAAACAGTAGTTCGCCGTAATCATAAGTGTCTGGATGCTGACGGTAACCACTTTGAGCACCTCTTGTAATTGCAGTAGTCAAACGTGACTTGTATTCACCTTTTGTTATCGGTATATATCGAGTATTACAATTTTGATACAGTTTTCCTTTTTTTAAATGTGTATTAAGGGCCGGCTGAGTGGCTTGTTGGTTAAGAGTTGGCTTGGGAGTGCGAGCTCTGAGCAGTAGGGCCCCGGTTCGGATCCCACATGAGGGCCAGTGACGCTGCGGCCTCTACAACTAAGATGGTGAACAACTGCTCAACCTGAAGCTGGGCTGCTGTGAGTCGCCGGCAACAGCGTAGGCTGCAGTGGGCTTCTGTAAGCTGCCATGAACGGCCGGCAGCGGGCGTGAGCTGCTGTGAGCCCCTGTGAGCGGCCAAGGGCCGGCGACCGATATGCCTCAGCCAGGAAGAGTGCAATGATCACAATACCAACATGGGCCAGTGAAGCGACGTCCTCCACAACTAGACTGAAGAACAAAAGGACAGCAACTTGTCTGTTCCCCTTCCCCGATTCCCCAACGCTGTTCCCTCCCCAATTTCCCAATAAAATTAAAAAAAAAAGTGTATTAAAATTGAAATAATATATACCGATAACAAAAGATGAATAGAAGTCATGTATATACATTTTTTGGGCATATATCCCCAGTATATAGGATTCTGAAAAGCAATGGAATTTGTCTAAATAATTAATAACAAAAATAAAAATTTCAAGTGGTGTTTGGGAACCTTAGCTGGCTAAATAAATCTAGACAATACCTAATATAGTACATTAAAGTAAGTGTTTAAGAAATATTTGTGGATAAATGGACAGAGGAATTATACAGAAATGTTTTTAAAGTTCCTGTAAAATCAGAGGTAATACATCAAGAATATAACAGTTATCCTAAATACAGTTTTTAATTAAAGATTTCAGAGAATTCTTATAGAAATCGTCAAGGAGATTTTCCTATTTCATATTTTATATACGTTAGGCAAAGAGAGACTCAAAAAAAAAACAAAAAAAAACCCTTTCAGAGTCACTCTAAAACTTTTCCTCTTTTGTTTGAAAGAGTCAAACATACAGCTTTTAACAGTCCACATTTTATGCTTAGCTTAAGCTTTCCTGGGTTCTAGCTATAAAAACTTATTTATCATGATTCATACTCAAACTACCTCTACTTTATTCCTTTAATTTAAAGAACTTCATATACTTTCATTCCAAAGTCTGGTTCATGTTTTTCTAAAGACTAGAGCCCAGGGTTTTGATTGTCAGTGAAAAATTCTGAAAGTGACAAATTCACTTCTGATGGAAAAGTGAATGTATTTTCTCTTCACCACTGTCACCACTGTAGCTTCTAAATGAGCCAATCTACTCTTTCTGGTTATCAGGGAGTATTTGTTTTTAAATTACTATGGTGATAAATAGTGCCATGGACATCAAAATAAAAATGTTCTACTTAGTACTTCTCAGTATTAGTACTTCTGTTGCCTTATAATAGAATGGTACAAAAACATTAATTTTTTAATGAACAGAAAAATGATAACAGCTAGCTCTTTCAATCACTGCAACAAGACTTTGTACAGGAACAAAAAGAAATTAGCTTCTGCTGTTATAGGCAACTGTAGACATGTTTCGTATCATATTATTATATAATGATTTCTTAGAAGAAATATAAATTCTGAAATCATATAATAGATTAAAAGGATTACTTTACATGGGCAAGAAACTTATGCTTTTTTCCATGAACCAAATCACTGACAGATGAAATTCAGGATAAAAATACACAAAAAACCATTATTTGCGCTAGCATACGAGAATTAAGCTCAAGCCATATGATTTACCAAGTGAATAGTCCACTTTCATTCCTCTATCAATATATCCAAAATTTGCAATAATAACTTTGTGTAAAGCAAAAAAATTTTACATAAATCTGTATTAAACTATGTTAATCTGAAGTGTGAATCAATTTTAATTAGAAAGATTTGACCTTTGGTTACTTTTTATCAGGTCATTCATTAAACATAGGAAAGAAGTAAAAGAGGAGAAAACTTGGTCATTCGGTTTAGCAGTGTTCTCAGCTTGAAAAACTAACAATGAAACCTCCAGCGTGAAGAATTTCAAATGAGGCTGCTAGACAGAGAAGACAGACCAAATCAGCTTACCACTTGAACCATTTTGAGATATCTGGCATATCTTGGATCCTTGGCTACAGTTAAGATATTTTCTGCTGTTACTTCACTTTCCTGTGGTCCAGAGTCTTGTAAACTGTTCTGCTGTAGAGAGTATTGCGTGTAAATCTTTAGACAATTCACAAATGGGGTCCATCATGTTACTTAACAGGGATGTTTCTTTTTATAATTCTAAAGCAATCACTATCAGAAAAAAATCATATTTCTAAATTTAAATATCAATAATTTAATGATGGTATATACATTTCCAAATATTTAAATATGATTTCAGAGGAAGGTACACTTAATATTAACACTATATTGTTCCTTAAAAATGCAAATATATTCATGGCATCAAAAAAATATTAGAATCCTGCTTTACTTGTCCCCAGAGTGCTGATATAAAACATAAATTATAGGTTGGACATATTATTTTAATAAAGTTTTTCATAAAGGTAATAAAACTATCGACTCATCAACTATTCAACTCTCATGGTTAGTAAATTGGTTTTCTATCTATCATCTGCACAACTGAATTTCTCATTTATTAAATAATCTTTTTCTAAGTGAATATGCTATTCTAACATCTTAGAAAGCAACGCCTAAAGAATTTGTGGAAGAAAACCCATTTCTCAGACAAAATTATCCAGTTTTATATATTTCAACTATTAATGGTAACATTCTCCACAGAGTGGTTAAGATTAAATACTAAATACTACGTGCAGTAAAGAATACTGGAAATGATCTTTCAGATAAAAATGGTTTTATTATACAGGCAGTTCTCACAGTACTGTATTAACTCAAACTTCCTGCAACCCTGCCCTCACTTAAGTGCAAAGCCAAGGCTGTCTCTACACATCTTGATTTTTCTATAAATCTGAACATTTAGAATAAATTTACTTTTGTGAATTCTCATTTATTATATGTATACATAGTAGCATTAATAGGAATTTCCTTAACAGAATGAAATCAACTTTATGTCTACATATCTCTGCTGGAATATAGATAAATCAAGAAATGTCTTGAAATATTCATAGTTTTAAAAATATGAATGTGACTTATATATTAAGGTTTTTCCTTAGATAATTCAAATATAAATTAAACCTTTCAAAAACTCTGAAGGAAATAAAACATCCAAAAATACACTTAAGTGTTATATGACACTTAAGTGTACAGACGTTAAGTAAAATACATAAATACGAAAAGTCCAAAAATTTAATTAAATAAAAAATTCAAACAAGACCCAAGTATGTTTTTAAAAAAATTATGGACAATAAATGCATACACTAGCACAAGAGACTAAATGCTAATTACATACAGGCCCATTAAATCTCAAAACTCAGCCATTAACTTTTGCCTAATAGTCAAGACCTCAACAAGGTTTAATTATATCAGGTCTTATTTGAATGACCCAATAAATTCTCTATCATATCTCTCAACTGTCTTTCATTTTATTCTTAAATTAATCTCAATCTGCACAATTGGATGTTCTATTGTGAGTGCTGATAAAATCTGAACCATGAAATTAAAGTTGCAGAAAAATCAGTATGCAAACCTTGGATCTTTGACTCATACATAAAGATTGCAATGAATGGATGATTTTTTTTTGAAGTGCATAATTATCTTTTATCTGATAAGTGAGTTGACTAATGCCAATGGAAATTCTGTGTTAAGCAATACTTACGTCCATTTCAAAATATTTTACAAAAAAAATACCAATTAATAACAACGGAGAAGATATAAGTCGATTTGAATATTAAGAACGTGCTAAACAGTTATTAAGCTAATCAACACACAACTTTACCACAATTTTAAACTCAGGAAGCCAACAGAGCTTCATAAACCCTCCAAATGAATTAATATACAATTTTAAAATAAAATTGCCAGAGATATATTAGGTTATTCTGAATTTTAGAAAATGTAACTGTGATTACTCATCACCAATTTTTTGAGACCTTAAGTAGGCAGGACCAATACAACTACGTAATTTTTAAAAGACATATTAAAGATAACATTCATAATGACACCTGGAAAAAGTAATATTCAAAGTTACACAGATACCATTTAAAAATTTATAGAAACATATGACAGCTAATCCACCAAAGCATAGCTACTATGTAGAGTGGAAACACTTTACTATTTTTTACATGTCTTGTTTTAGAAAAAGGGTGGTCCATATTTTAGTGAAAGAACCTTGTAAGTTAACTCCTCTACAACATCTGGATTTCCTCTTATATATCATTCATATATATATGAATGTACACACACACACACACACACACACACACACACACACACACACACACCGGGGGGCATGATCATGGAATTTCCTATGTTAATTAAATGGATGTTAAATTTTCTAATATGTAATTGTTAAGAACATGGTCATCTAATTCATCCCACAAATCTATACTATAAATATATGCCTCCCCCACAGTGCCTCACACCACATGTGCTCAGTCTGTTTAATGAATTCAACACAGGTGCTGGAGACAGGGTAGTGTAGCACAGCAGGTAAGAGGTAGGACTTTTGGCACCAGACTGCCTGGGTTAAAATTCCAGCTCTTACACTTACTGTTTGGCCTTCACCAAGTTACGTAACCTCTGTTAGTATACTTATTTGACCCATCTGTAAAGTAGAATTGATCATACAGTATTTACTTCATAGGTTTGTTGTGGGGATTAAATGAGTTAATTTATGAAAAGCACTCAGAAGTATAAGTAGGCCTGGCTCATAGGAAGCACCCATTACAGGTTAGTCATAATCATCACGGTCAACAGCGTCTTGATCTAAAAAATATCCTGTAACAAGTAACTCCGGGTACAAATGCAGAATTCCATATAGGTAGGAAGTCTACTTGTTCTCCATGTTAGTGATTCTCTTATTTTGAATTTTAATACCTCACTGAGATACACTAGCGATTACTTTCAAACAATGAATTTTTATTTCTTGAAATAAAAAGTAATATAAAATTTAAACTTATACAGAGAATAAATGAACATTAAGACATAAAAACCAAATGTAAAGTGTGATCATTACTAGGATGCTGATTTGAACAAATCAAACCCCAAAACACACTTTTTTGACAGTTGGTATTTCTTAGATCAGTATCTGTCCCATTTCAATAGCTTACAAATCACCTAGGGCTCTTGCTAAAATGTAGGTTCTGATTCAGTAAGTCTGGGGTGGACCTTAGATTTCTAACAAGCCTCCAGGATGCTGTTGGTCCATGAAGCATCCTTCAAGTAACAAGGGGTTAGAAAGGGATTTATTGTTAATTATATTGTGTGAGATAAAGCATTGTGGTTATGCAAGAAAATGTCAGGACTTTTCAGGGATGCTCAAGGAATTACACATAGGTGAAAATAGCATGATCCTGGGATTCAGTTTGGCAAGTGACAAAAAGGAGATGAAGCAACTGCCACAAAAATCTTAACTGGTGAATCTGGGTAATGGGCCTTTGGGTATTCATTGTACTATTCTATTTTTGTGAATGAAAGTTTTTATACTAAAACATTTAGAAAGTACATTTTTTATAAGAACTTAGAAAAAATTTCTATAGTGAACTTGAAGAAAGTAATTATATTCAAGATTTTTCCAAGTCCTATAGAGATCAATTTTCTTTTTTATAGGCAAAGAAAATATTAACTTTAAGGAAGACCTTCAAAATAACAAAACAAAACACCTAATTTTTTTTTTCCAAACTTCAATTTCTATCTTAAGGCTTTAAAACATTAGTAGTCAAAGTTTTACATTTTTGTTTAACTTCTTCCTTCAAAACTGTTCCTTAGGTCTATCTAGTTCAACCAAGAAGATTCATTCATGTTTCTTGGAACTTAAATACTTACCTGTGATTGCTCTGAAGTGGTTTCAGAATGTGGTTCATTTGTGACACTAGTGACACTTACAGGAGATACTTCAAATGTGACATCATCTAGGCCTGGGATAGATGACAACTGAAAAAATAAAATGAATGTTGGTATATGAGGATAATACTATGTGCTAAGCACTGTAAGCTCCTAGGTGTGTGTCTGTTAAGCCCATAGAAACAGGTTTATAAAATCTCATCTTTGGTATTTGAAATTATCCATGCGGTCAACTATTTAAAAGGGACAGGCATTCACAAATAAAATATTCTGAACAATTTCTCACAAATCTAATTTAGCTTATGACCATTATTTTCCCAGAAATTATTTTTAACCTAGAAGGAATCCTTGTGTAAAGAATGAGAAGAGCATGGGCTTTGGAGTCAAAGTGCCTCGGTTTAAGTCACAAGCCATGTGTCCTTGTGTAAATCTCTGTAGGCCTCCATTTTTTCACCTGTAGAGTGGGATAAAAAACTTCACAAAGATGTTGTAAAAATATTTTTTACTAAACATACTTTGTAAAAAAAATTGCTTTGTAGCACATTTTAAGTTTCAATTACTTGAGAAATGACAAAACTCTTGTCATCACATTTTAATGTCTAATACAGCTCATTCTTTTTTTCTTTCTTTAAACATTTAACACTGAATGTTACTAAAATGTATTATTTTTTATACACAAAAGATGAGTGTGTTGTCAGTGGTTAAACATCTCAGGTTGGAGTTGCAAGATCCATGTAAACCCTCTTTTCTGATTCAATCTTGATATGAGCAATATACATTTGTCAGATGTTCGGCTAATTTTGGAGATTAACTCTATGACCATGGAAATAAGTAAGGTTAACTAGTCCATATAGTAACTTAACTTGTGACATTGGACTCTAAGTCAAGAATTCCCTTAAAACAAGATATATAATCATAATAAAGAATGAGAAACCAATGGTAATAAGATCTGAAGCAGCAATATTCATTGAGAACTGTTGACTGATGATAGTACTTAGCACAGTGGCTATGGTCCAAATATTTTCAAGTGGGTATGGTTGCTAAAAGGATATCTTGAACATGCTCAAGGACAGGTATCCTAAATTTTCCAAGCTAGAGAAATGCTCTGAGAGAAATATAGGTGCTGAAGTCCACAAGATGTAGAAAGTACAAACTACACATCATGATCCTTATGCTTAAGATATTAGTCATTTTACTTCCTCATAAATATTTATTATTTTTAAAGATTTTTTTTGATAAAAGGATGCAGCTACAAAAATATATTAGTGTCTCCATTACATTATAAACAGAAAAAACACACAAAATCTGCAAGCTTTCAAATCAAAACAACCGTTTTATATTTGCTAATTATCTTTTGTAGTTTCTGACTTCAAAATATTGATATTCTTCATTAGCATTTAATATATTTGCAAATGACAAATAGCTGATACTTTCTCCAAATTTTGCTCTGTTGACACCTAAAATTCTTGCTGTGTTATCAAATGATTACTATTAAGATTATTGGGAATTTTCCATTTAATGAAGTAAATTATAAAACAGCTCAATTTGTTAACATGTTACTCACATTATGCTTCTGACTAGTGTAATGAAAGAAATCTCAATTCATGGGTACATTTAAACAGACTCAGTTAATGGTTGAAAATAAGTATCATTTACTTTGCAATTATAATGAATTAAAAAAACAAATAAAAAACACTATACCACCTCAGGATGGAGGAGCTAAATTTAATTCATTCCCAAATGCAATTAAAGTTAAATATAACTGAGAAGGCTGATAAGCATACAGCAAAGTTTATACTATAAATTATTCAGAAATACAAACCTTTGCATCCAAAATATTGAGAGTTGTTTCAATTTGTTGGATACGAAGAGAAAGGTCTGCCAGTTTCTGGAAAAGATTAGAAACAAAAGAATAAAGTCTGATTAAAATAAACTTAACAAGGATAACAACGGGCAGATTGAAAAATAATAAAAACCATGGCTTAAGTGTTTGTCATTTTTTATTTTTCATATTTCTCTTATTTACTATGAGTAGGAATAGGAACTCAAGTATTCTATTATTTTTTCATTAGCATGCTTCACAGTGATTTTATAAAGTTGTATTCAGAGATAAGAAGGAGTTACATTGTCAGCCTTCTCAAGCTCATTATCAGAGCCATAATCAATCATTGGGATCAGAATGCAAACTCCTCCCAGGACAGAGTTTTTTTCACTGCTGTGCCCCCAGGCCTCAGAACAGTACTTGCCACTTAACAGGAGCCTAATAATTATTTGTTGATGAATGAAGAAATTCTTCATAGAAACAAGAATAAAAATTAGCTCAAGAAAGCTTGGAACAGGATTTGCCTTTATCTACTGCTTAAACACATAAGTATATACAATTAGTCCTAAATTCAAGCTCTTCAACTTTGAAAAGTAAAAGGAGATGAAACTGGAAGATGAGCAGTTCATGTTGGAAGGAATTAAAACAAAGAAAAAATTAGAAAAAGTTCTAGAAAAACAAAAGGAATCAATCTACCATCAAAATCCTAAATAAACCAGAAACAAAAGTTTACTGTACTCTCGTTACTCTACACAATTATATACAAAGGGTGCCAAAACAATGTATACACATTTTAAGAAAGGAAAAAACTATATTAAAATTGTAATAATATATATCAATAAAAAAGATGAATACAGGTCACGTGTATACATATTTTTTGGCACCCCTTGTACATACACACACACATACACATAGCCACACAAAAGTAACATCGTAAAATATGATCCATAAGGACATTTATTTAAAACACCCTAATCCTACACATTATTATATTCAGTAACAAAGTCCAAGAGCAGTTGGACAGTTTACTAGTTGGCAGATGTGCATACAGCATTTTGACTGCTTTCTGGGATATTATCAAGATCCTGACTGACTCATAAGCAGATTTTTAACACCCCAAGAAATGGTCATTTTGCCCACATTTAGAGAGAGAAAAAAGTGAAAGTAACCACAGAGTAGTGCTTCTTCACAAAATACTTATTTTTAAGATGAGCATCTTGAGATCTACAAAGATATAATTTAGAAATAAAACATAAGAATCTAGTTTTAGTGGCATTCAAAGCTAAGTTTAACTTTGATTTCTAGGATTTGTTCACATAAGGCTTTTATGTAAATATAAATACAGGTTTACAAAACATCATGTGGATGGATTCCTCTCCAAATTATAGGCATTTTCCTGAAAATCACGGAAATTAAATTTTGGCAAATTTAACCAGTCTTTTAACTCATTAGAGAAGCTTACTAATTGCAGAAATCCCACAGCAAATTTGTAAAGTGAATGATAATTTCTAACCTATTTTAAAATGCATACATTGGCTTGATTAAAGTAAATAAACGCGTAAAGAGAAACAAAAAGATGAATTAAAAATTAATCTTTGTTTTAATATCTTTTAGGTATTTTTAAGCGATCATCACTGTAAACATTTTGAGCATTTACCATACTCTGCTACACCGTAGATGCATCATATCATTTGAAATCTTACACCAAATCTATGACAAGAACTATTACGCCAATTTTAAAGATGAAAAAAGACTAAGTCTTCATTCAAGTAAAATAATCTGCACTCAAACACTCCAACTCCAGATACTATTTTTGAAAGAATTTTACATTGTTTTGAGACAGCTTTACATTGTTAACACATGACGTCACAGACTCTGGGGATGATGTGTCAGTTAGATCGTAACAAATCAGTTTTAACAAACGTACCATGCTGGTGGGGAATGATGGTAGTGGGAAAGACTGTGTGCATGGGGGCAAGGGGCAGGGAGTATACCGGAACTCAGTGCTTTCTGCTCAGCTTTGCTGTGAACCTAAAACTGCTCTAAAAAAATAAAGTTTACTAATTTAAAAAAAAGGTGGAAAATTCCCAAAGTATTTCACAGATAGAATTTTTGTTATTCAAAGCTAATAAATGATTAATCCTTTTCTCACTAAGATGCTACTGTGCTAAACACTAGGAATCAAATTTTTCTGATCAAATTTTCCTAAAACAGATGCTGTTTATCTGATTTTAAAATTGGTATCAAATTTTTCAGGTTTAGATCATATAACTCAACTGTCCTTCAATGGGTACTCAATGATTCATACAGGATAGGCTAAGGATTGAAATACAAGTCTCAGTAAATAAGGGAATAAGGAAGAAAATGTTAATTTGTATTATTATAATCTAGAGATGATTTAAAGTATACAGGAGGGTGTGTACAGGTTATATTCAAATACTACACCATTTTATATAAGGAATGTGAGCATCCCTGCATTGTGGAATCTGTGGAGATCCTGAAACCAGTCCCCTGTGGATACTGAGGGATGACTGTACTTTCTAGAGCAGTAATTCGCAATCTTTTTTGGATGCAGATTTGTCTGGTATGTTAATCTTTTGCTTTGACACTCATATAACCTACTCTCACCTACTATTACCAAAATCTCACCAAAATGAAATGATCTGTGTTTTTTCAATAAAACAAGATTAGATGAATGATTTATTCCCACAAGACATGAAAACCACTTATCTAAACATCAATATATTACAATATCAATATCAATATATAATTTATCTAAATATCCCTGACATCTAATCTAACAACAACCATAATTGTGAAGTACAGTAGTCCCCCATTTTCTGTAGTTTCAGTTACCAGTGGTCAATCATGGTCTGAAAACATTAAGTGGAAAATTCCAGAAACAAACAATTCATAAGTTTTAAATTGCGCGCTGTTAAAATGCGTAGTGTGATAAAAATCTCGCACCAACCTTCCCAGGATGTGAATCATCCCTTTGTCCAGGGTATCCATGCCGTAAAAGCTACCTGCCCATTAGTCACTTAGTAGCCATCTTGGTTATCAGATCGACTGTCACTGTATCAAAGTGCTTGTGTTCAAGTCACCCTTGTTTTACTTAATGGCCCCAAAGTGCAATAGTGATGCTGGTAGTTGGGATGTGCCAAAGAGAAGCTGTAAAGTGCTTCTTTTAGGTGAAAAGGTATGTAGGTACAGGAAAAACAAATAGTATACATAGGGTTTGGTACTATCCGTGGTTTCCCCAGTGGATAAGAGGGACCACTGTATAAAGAAATCTGAAGAAATGATAATTTAATAAAAACCATCTGTGATTTCTCATGAAAAAACATTCAACATCACTATTAGAGAAATGGAAATCAAAACTACAATATCACCTCATACCTGTCTGTAGGAATGGCTATTATAAAAAAGACAAGAAGTGGGCCGGCTGAATGGCGCGATGGTTAAGAACTGGCTTGGGACGCCAGAGGGCCCCGGTTCGGATCCCACCTATGAGGGCCAGTGACACTGCCCTCCACAGCTAAGATGCTGAACAACAACTCAACCTGGAGCTGGGCTGCCGTGAGTCGCCGTGGCGATGGCGATGGCGATGGCGA